CTCAGTGTCAGCGGCCATCTGCCGAGGCTGACTGGGGTTCAAGGAGACAGAAACAGACATAGAAAAAGAAGCATAGATACAAAAGGCAACTGTCAACCAGCTCCACAGGCGGCCCCGTCCAGGAAACACACAGCCAGGCAGACGAGCTCTGAGCCAGCTCCCATGTCAGAGGATGAAGAGAGCACATCCAGTTAGTGTCAGCGAAAGGTCTTCAAACTTGGAAACAGAGTCCAGTGGATTGCTTTTTTTTAAACTTATTTTGTAATGACTATGACCAGGATGACTGAGAATCTTCACCAGCATGTGCCACAGAACAAACATTGTCTCTTTTCCCTCGACCAAACTTTCCTCTCAGGTAAACAGGTAGACCTGTCCATGGCTCCAACGCCATCATCAAGCTTGCAGATGAAACCACAGCGATCAGCCACATTAGAGGCAACGGTGAGGTCGCCTACATGGAGGCTGTGAACCGTCTGCCTGATTGGTGCAAAGAAAACAACCTGCAGCTGAACACAGAAAAGACCAAGGAGCTCATCGTGGGCTTCAGGAGGAACGCTGACCCAAATCCACCCATCCACATCAAAGGGACAGCGGAGGAGCGCGTGGACAGCTTTATGTTCCTGGAAGTCCTCATCTTTTGAGGACCTTACGTGGACGACCAGCTGCTGCAAAGTCATCAAGAAGGCGCACCATCACCTCTTCTCCATGAGGACCTGAGGAAGAACCAGAGATCTTCACAAGCTTCTACCACTGCACCATCAAGAGCATCCTCACCGACTGATATAAATATATATATATACATATATGAAAAACCACACTTCCTCACTTTCCTGTCTAACATGTATATAGCTTTCATACCTATTTATTTTATAGGCCCTTACAATTATTCTTTGTATATTTACCATTTATAGTCCATACGTACATAGTCTTTGTACAGATGTAGATATTTATATCCTGTATATTACTTCTGGATAGATGCTAACTAAATTTCGTTGCTTCATGCTTGTGAAAGTGTAATGACAATAAAGTTTAATTCTATTGTTTTCTATTATTAACTCAAAGAAAGGTTGTTTCCCTGTCTACTTTTAAGGCTAGGCTTAAAACTTTCCTTTTTGATAAAGCTTCTAGTTAGAGTGGCTCAGGTTATCCTGAGCTATCTCTATAGTTATGCTGCTATAGGCTTAGACTGCTGGAGGACATAAACCCCCATTTCATCACTCT